AAAAAAAAAAAAAAAAAGAAATTAAAAAAGGCAACAGAAACGAAACGGGGCATCGGAACGGAAATGCTACAAAGCAAAGCAATAAAAGAGACAGCGGGCTAGTCCAGGGAGTCCTGCAGCTTCTAGCAAGGGCGAACCAAAGCTGAGCATCTAGCTGGTTTCCAACAGACGGTTTGCCATTCGGTGGTCAGAGCGGACGTTTAAGCTGTTAGCTTTTGGGTTCAAGGAGCCTGGCAACCTTTGAAATACTCGGTCACATTTTAAGTAGGTTTTTTCCTGATCCAGTCAAGTTTTGCTAGGTAAAGGTTTTAGATGGGGGTCCTCTGCAAAAGGTTTGCACAAAGGACTAAGCAGCAGGTTTTCAAAGATATTTAGGCACCTGATGGGATTCTCAAAGTGCCCGCATCCTGACAGAGCGAGGTGCTGAACCTGCTCGGGTGCTTCTGAAAATCCCATAAAGCACCTGCTCGAGCCTTTGAAAATCCGACCCTGCAAAAACCTGATTTTTAATAGCTGAAATGGGCCTGATTTTCAGTGGGCAGGTGCTCAGCAAGGTCTGAAACTCAGGAGATGAACTAGGGACCTAAAAGCTCTACATCTGACTGAGAAATCGTGCCGCTAAGGGTGCAGGCGCACGAAACAAGTGAAACGGTCCAAATGCCTCGGAAACGGTTTCCAAGTGCCGGCTGAACGCACGTACCAGCCCTCTGAACCATTCCCAAAGCGGCTGAAAATCCTCCAAAATAACATCTCCTGGGATCTGCGAGGGAGGGAAAGCAGGCGGATCAACTATCCAGCTGCCGGGGCGCTGCTGAGTCCACGCTGGGACCCCCGTACCTCCTGCTGGGATCTCCACTATCGTAGGAGCCAGTTTTACTGCCCTCCACCACCCCCACCGCTGACTCCCTCCAGCCCTACCCCCTCTGCCTTTCCTTTCAGCTGAAGTAGAAAGAACTGGAGCTGAAATGGCAGACCCCAGGACCCCAGGAGGGGCAGGGGTGAGCACAACTGCAGGTCGCAGCAGCCTCCGGGAGCATCCCCGGGGTGGCGCTTAAAGAAGACCGCAGCGCTTGCAGCCAGGGAAGGGCCCAGGGGCTGTACGCACGTCCTGGGCTGCAACGCTTGCATTGCTGAAACACTTCCCAGGGGGTTTCGGTTGTGCCGTCTGCCCGCAGCCTAAACCCATTTGCGAGTGCCTCGGGGTGACAACGTAGCTGTGAGATCCCTGCCCCGCTCGTCACCACCCATCAGCCCAATAAGCGAGACAAAGAGCGTGCTTCGGCTGGTTAACTGTCAAGGCACGTTTGCGCATCTCTTCTAAATGAGTCGGGGGAGCCACAATAACCGCTTTTAACTCCTGCCGGTAAAGGGAGACCTGCTGACCACGGGGTGTCACTTGAAAAAGGCAAGTGCAAATGCTGATTTACCCTAAGACGACAGGCTTCTTAGGGTAAATCCAGTATCTTTCATTAGACCAACTAAAATAGTTGGAAACATTTCTTCTTTGCAAGCTCTCAGGCACAAATGCCCTCCATCAGGCCGAGGAAGCGTCTGCAGTTGGTCTGGGCTCTTCCCAGCTGGTCATTTCTGTAATTTCTATTTTGTACAGCAAAATTCGATAGCTTCATGTGCAAGTGCAGTAATTCAGCGCTCAGAACGGTGACTCAAGCCAAATCCTGCTGCCCTTGATCACAACCCCACTGAAATGGATGGAGGTTGTAGCTGAGCGCACGGGCCCGATTCTGGTTTCAGGACTGATTTCATACATCTGCACTAGTCTGCCACCAGTGCGAGGGGGGAGCCAGCCACAAGGACTGCAGGATTTGAGCCCCCTCCGTCTGTATTACCAGCACCCCATGCAGCAGTTTCACCTTCTCCCTTTCTGCTTTAATCGTCCAACTCATTTTGCACCGCTAGTGCCTTGGCTTTGTCAAACACCGGCTTGCCCATTCCTCTTGTGCATCTACCTGTTTGACTTTCTAGTTCAACTGCACTGTGGCATTTGGGTCACAACCTTGCAATGGCAAGGGATGCTGAAGGTAAAGCAGGATTTGCTTTCCTCTTATCTAGTTTTTAAATCAACTGAAAACTCTTCTACTAAAGATTCGTTTTGGCTTGGTCTTTCACATCACCTGCTCCCCTCCGCATGTGGGGCCTAACATGCCTGGAGGGCTCCTTTAATGAATCAAGTCGGACTTTCCCAGATTTACTCTCGCTCATCCCTAAAACAAAGGTTTCGGTGGAGTGACTTCCCTTGGGGAGGGTGGGTGGGGGTCGGGTCCTGGTCTCCCAGACCTGGCTAGCCACGCAAAATAATGCAGAGCATGTCAAACAATCAACCAAAGCAACAGACTTGAAAACAAAAAAAAAACCAAAATAAATCAAGTCATTAATTTCAAACGAAAGATCCATCAAAAAGGAAATCAGAACAAAACACCAGCGCTCTACCAAGCGGCTCCTTTGGGGACATTCCCAGGCTCTGTACCTACCTTCCATGCTTCAACTGCTAACTTATAAGACTTTCTTACGAGAGAACAAGAGAAACTGAGCTACAAGGCCAGACCGCTGCTCCTGGTGGGTTTCTGCACGTAGTTTGCTTTTCAGAGGCTGTTCAGTCCTGACTGTCACCAGCTCCTCTGCTCTAGGCTATTCCCACCAGCTCCCCTGGGCCCCCGGATGTCGGGCATGAGAACACTTGTCCCTGATCTGTCCTGTCTTGGGCAAGATGACGATACCCAGCCCACAGCGCGGGTTGACAGTGCGAACAGTCCCTGCATCTCTCGTCGCCTGCCTTGCCTGAATGGCGCTCGGTTCCCCCCCAAGTATGCCAGTGCATTGCACCCTTCCATGCGTTAGAAGCACTGCAGACCCTTTCTACTACTGGCAAGGCTAAGCAGTCCCCAGATGCCTCCGATGACCTCCCCTCTGCACTTAAAAATCAGCCCCGGGGGGGTGGCATCAAAACTTCCTTCACTCCTTAGCAGCCCAGCTGAAGCCACAAGGGATGAGAAACCCACTGCAGAGAGGGTCTGACCCGACCTACCCTTTCCATCCTGAGCCTAAGGCTGCAGAAACTCCTAACGAAAGCCCCAGCAAGCAGAGCACCGAGCTCCAGCCGGCACTTGGGTTCACTGTTTCCATTGGCAGCTGCTGTGCCCGGGATGCTCACTCACTCACCCTCTACACTCCAGCACAAGGACCTGCCGGGTGGCCCCGGAGCGAGACCTCCTTTCGGTTGGGTTTGCAGCACTTTCTCTGGTTAAAAGGGAGCAGGGGGGCCCGGAGGTACCCGTGCCCCGCACCGCTCGCACTGACCACAGCACCTGGATGAAAACAGCCACCAAGTGCTGGCTGGCCGCAACTGGAGACGCCTCTTTGGAGTTCATGGCACTGTGAGTTTCCTTCACAATCCAGCCCAACCTGCATGAAACTGGACACGTGCGTGCGAGACTGAGCGAGTGTGTGTGCGTGTGTAAGGCACAAGTGATGCGTGCTCCCCTCGGCCCTGTGAGCTGCGTGCGATGAGCAAAGCAGCACCTAAAACGTGGCTCTGAGGCAGCGGGATTTACCTCTGCACCAGATCCCTTGGCTGCGCTAGGATCCCGGGCGGAAGAGCTCACGGGTTCGCCATAAAGCCTTTTTTATTGCTAGCAGCCCCATCCACACCTCCCGTGTGAGCGCCCGCTGTGGGATGCTGTGCGTGCGGAGGAGGTGGCAGTGACAGGGTGGACTGTATTTGTGAATCTGCTTGAGACCAGCCAGTACTCACCTGAACTGCATCTTTTACATGCTTTAAGTTGACTGTCCAAGCCACAAGAATGACCCTTACTGACCTCGTACAGGACAACGTTTTTAACCCTTTAGGTACCACAGACTTTGGATCGATTTATTGCACTCATGACTCTCTTGGGATGAGAGGAGAAGGATCAGAGCAACCGGGAGGGGGAACGTCCCCTCTTAGGAAGGAGCAGGCAAAATGAAATCCCCCCCCGGCTCCTTTGCAACCTGCGTGCCTACCCTCCTCCCTGTCCATCCTGCCTGATGACGCACACCACGAGAAATTTCTGAAGGGAGAGAGTGGTGACAAACCCCAGGGGCTCTGCCGCTAGGTTGCCAAAGGCACCGTTTCCTCCGCACACACGTCTCTGGTACTTGAAGAGTTAAAACCCAGCTACTTCAAGAAGAAAAAGATACTTTACCTTTAGTTTAATGGATTTTAACTTTGGTTATGATGCTCGGGAGAGCTACCCTGGCAGAGATGTAGAGGGGGCTGTGCAAGGGGTACATGCAGGAGCGGGGGATGCTGGCTATGTGGGCAGGGGCATGGCAGCTGAGACCGGGAGGAAGATGATGAACGCCACAGCAGGCCACGGGTAGGAAGGCTCTAGGGATGCGAGGATGAGATGCAGTCATGGCGTGAAACTGCCCGGCAAGAGAGAGAAAGAGAGACAGATCAGGGAGCTGGCTTCGCGGGCCTTGGAAGGGTAGGGCATGCAGGCAGAAACACAGGCAAGCAGACAGACAGATGGACAGGAGAGAGAGAGAAAGAGAGAGAGCACGAGCCATGGAGCAGGCCACGGAGGAGCTGAACAGAAATGAGGGTGCTGAGCTGCCTCCACTAGCCAGAAGGAAACAAACAGCAGAGGACTGGGGCCTAAACCTGTCCCTCAAA